ATGTTTCTTTTGTTTGTAGGAGGATAAGTTGAAAGAGGAAACTATGGGTTTGTTGTTTGCCTTTGATCAGTTTTTAAATCCAAAGTTTAACTACATGAAAACTAAATCATTGTTTTTGTGATAACTAAGTTAAAACTACCTGCTCTCTCTGCAGAAACATCATCTGCACCGATGGACAACTTGGGTAAGTCACAGTTTTATTTAGTAACTATTGCAAATATAAGTTAACTCACAAACTGTATGAAAATCTCTGTGTTTAGGTGCAAGAGGGACACAAACACAAAACAGGAATTATGATGAAGGGATGGATGACATGGAGGACATTTCTTCAGAACATTCAAAAGGTGTGTTAACCTCAAAGAAATCTGAAGTTGATAAAAGATATTGATCTCACAGGGAAACTGTTTGTTACAGTTGCTCCAGCAAAGAACATAATACATTTATTCTGTATATCATGTGTAACAGAATACAGAGAACCTCAGGGTCTGCAGGGGTTCATAAGGTAAAAACAGCTTTACAAGATAAGATGGTGCAAGACCATTGAGACATTTAAAACCAGTAAAATAATCTTAAAATCAATCCTGAGATGTACAGGGAGCCAAAGCAATGATTTTAAAACAGGAGTGATGTGAGCCGCCTTCTGGTCTTGGTTTGGACTCCAGCAGCAGAGTTTTGTAATAGCTGAAGGCTGTGCAGATTACCAAAAGGCACCAAGAAAATACTGCACACAATGAAGACTGTAAGAAAACCCTGAATGTATCGGTTCATGCCTGAGGATTCCAGATAGTTTGGTGCTGAAGAAAGCTCAGCATATGAGGATGCTACAGTCCTGAATGCAGCTGTACCAGGTTTTTTGGCTCTGGATCTTTTAATGCATGTCTTTTGCCTCAATAACTCAAGATCCACAAATACCCTGAAAAAATGTGCACAGTTATTAGTATTAAGTTATTTTCTTACATACATGATTATGAACATAATGATGTCACACAGTAAACTATGTGGCCTGGTAAGTGGAGTAATTATTGATGCTGATAGATTTCTGTGTGGTGTAGATTTATTTAAGGACATTTTGAGTCATGGTAAGTTTGTGTTGCACTGGAGACAACATTCATGTTATAATTGGATCTCACATAATGTTTAGTTTCAGTTTCAGCTGCAGCTCTGACAGAAACTTTCTTCTTTTCTTTCAAACACCAGGATGTAAGTCTGATGGCTCTTCTAAATGGAGTGGTCTGAATGCTGCTTCTTCTAGGTCTACAGGTCTGTGGAAACAATTCTATTAATACAAAATACATAATCTTTGTAGAATATGCTCTGAAATAAAAAAAAAACAACATTTTTAAATATCATTTAAATTATACATTCATACAGATTATCTATCATTTTGTCTTTTACTGTTAATGACTGAACTTGTCTGAAATTTACTTTAGTGTCAATCATAAACTGCAGAGGTGCTGCCAAGAATTTAATCATAATATTTTCTGTTTGTTTTAATTAGAAAGTAGAAATTCCAGTTCAAGGAAACCTGAGCAGTTAAATCAAACCAGTGAGTTCATCTTCCATTTTTACACGTTTTGTAATGTGTAAAAGTTCTGCAGACATTAATGGCAACTATTATGCTACTTTTTCAGCAAACAGGTGGTCTCTTCCCAGCATTCCCAGCATTTCCAGCATTTTCAAGTCTCCAACCCCAGTGGTGAAGGTCCACTACACTCCTACCAGTGATACGTTTGGTGCTGATGCTGCCATAATGAAACAGTTGCAGAACAACTTGAAGTCATCAATGCAGTTGGTAGAAACAACCAAGAACTGCAGCGTCATCATCGTCGTCTGTCCAGTCATCCGCAGTTTTGAATCAGAAATAAGGTCTGCCATGGAAAAGGAAGCAGGTAATGAAAACATTTACTACTTTACATTCTGTTACCATTACCAGCATCTGATTCCAGATGAATAGTTTTGTCATATTATTTGTTGCACTTAAAGAGTAATTAAAATTAAAAACCAAAACAAATCTCCTTTCCCAGTTTTTCATCACTATGTTATTCTTGTCTATAAGATGTAATGCTGGAGCTTCTTGCACAACAATCTGGTTAGTATAAACAAATCAGGGCTTCATCTTTGTTCACTAATTACAACTGACATTTAAACACTGAATAATTTTGTGATGCTAATTTATATAGATTTCAACAAACCCTTTTGATTAAATGCTAAACATGAGCGTTTTTCAGAAATCATGTAAAAAAAAACTATTCAACAATGTTAAGGGTTTGATTGCTGTAAGGCCAAAAAATCATTTTATTATTCAGAAGAATATAAATAAGTTTCAGTATGTTAGTTTTTAATAAAATCCTAGGAAAAACAGAAAACTTTTTATCTTATTTGATGCTACTTTTGAATTATTTCCATATGCTTTCAGATATATCTGTTTCATTTCATATCAGAACTAAACTTCTAGATCTGAAAAGCATAAAGTTTATTTCAACCAAGATAATGAA